TGGCAGACCAGTATTTCAGTGAGTACTTCACAACTGCCATAAACAATACATTACTACTGTGAGTATGATGGAATTAAACATAGAATGAAACATACTGCACAAAATGGTGCATTAATTCTAATTGTGAGATTTTAATGTTTATACGCAAAGCAAAATGATGTGAATAGATGTTTATAAGAAGATTCGTATTTGATGTGGGCCTTAAGAATGTTATGTGAAATTAAAAAAAAAAACATCACTGGACAGATTACTACAAAATGTAGAAAATATTAAACATAAATAAATCTTAGAATTGAAATATGCAAAAATAATTTTTTTTTTGGATGCCTTCTTGCTGAAGTGATGATCCTCACCTAAATGCAATGCATGCCAGGAAAGGTGAATAGGGAAATGAAGGTACTTCCTATAGTAGGAATAAATTAATGACTTTTCTGTCTGAATGAGGAGAGAGAGAAACTAGAAAAATGAACAACTATCTTCAGATTTATCTTGGTTATGAAGATAGAAAAAAAAATCCAAAACATTTGGTCACATATATGGGAGAAAAATGTCATCCTGCAACCGAATCAGAAAAAAAAATGGAGGACACCAGCCTGCTTAACAACGGCAAGTCTAATCTTACTCTAATTTTAAAAGATAGCAAGAATCTTACTTATGCATGAGAAGAGAGCTTTAGGTGTCCAGTTTTATATTATTAAAGGAATAAGTATGGAAGAAATCCGTGAAAACAGACTCGGATGGATTATGGGCCTAATTTTTAAAGGGCACAGATTTAACGACTGGCAGCTAAAACCTAGGGCACATTCTTTGTCAGGGATTATAACACGTAAGATCAAAGCAGTTTCAGTGACAGTATTTAAACTTATTGTTTGAAAATAAGGCTTGTATTTCCTCAAAAATAAGAATACACTACACATTTGAAGCATTTAGACTTGTCTCAAATGTGGTAGTGAGCATTTTTACTATTAGAAGAGAAATGCAATCTACACATTGCAGAACCACAGTTATTTTTTTAAAAAAAGACATCAACTATGACTATTGGAGATATTTTTCCTTGTTAAAATAACCACCAGAAAACTCTGTTTATTCAGGAACATATTTTTTAATCCAAATGAAAGAGGGTGCCAGGCAGCGTTATACAAGCTTCCTAAATTCATTTGGCTGACTAATGTTCCTATTCCTGTATGACTCAAAGTGGTTTAAAAAAAAAAGAAAAAAAGAAAAAGAAAAACAAACAAAAACCTGACATGATTAATTTCAAGCAAGAACTGACATCCAGATCTATAGCAATTTAAAGACATAATAAACAGTACTGTACAGTTGTCATTTAATGCAAACCACACAATTTTTGCAAAGTTCACTTAACAACCAGCAAATAGAAGCAGAAGATTATAAGGCTGGACCTTAGGACTTCCTTATGATAAACCATTAGCATGCTTAAATTTCAACCTCCCTAAATTTCTAAGACTTCATTTAGTGAATTATTTCAAATTTTATATAGCATATTATTAGTGTAAATGCACATTTCTGATTCCTCACTGTCTTACTTCAGTCCACAATGACAGTTACACCATAAAAGTCAGTATTTTGATATTCTACTCCCATTGAATACACAATTATGAAATCTCCATAAGCTAACAGAGAATTCCAGAGAATTTTTTGATCATCATAAAATGGAGGAACAAACATCCACACCTCCCTGTACACGCTAGAACCTCTACACTTACAGGCACTTCTCAAAACCACATTTTATAACAATGAACCTGGTATGTCGGTGCAATACTATGAGCTTTCCATACATACTACAGCCATGCTAAGTTCATTCTTTGACTAGGAGGAACTGCGACATAGTAAATTATTGCATGATTTGCACAGTGTTCATCTGTTTTAAAGGGAAACAGACTGTCATGACATGCCCAGTTTTAGTTTAGACCATAGTTTTATGGTCTGACTTACAATTCACAGAATAACATTTCTTTTAAGTAATTAGAGATCATGTGCTACTAAATAAACCTACAAATCCACCCAGAGACAATGTATCATGGTCTAATCATAATGAAAGACATATTTTGGTTCCTGCTACCAAGTGAACATCATACAGCAAAGAAAGTATTATATTCATCTTTCTATGAATATTCAAATAAAATGTATTTACCTTTCAGGTATCCACATACAGATCCTTTCAAAAAGAGAGGGTCAAGTATTATTAGGCTCTTCCTCAGAAAATAAGGAATTAATTTTACATGACATTTAATTTCCAGTTTCTCAAGACAGAACAAAAATATTCAAAGAAAAGCAATAGATTGTATCAGCAAAAATAGTTTAAAAATATCCTGCATTGGACTCAAATAAAGCTTTATTCTGAGGAAATTCTATTGTGCTAAAATACTCATTTATCTTTCACCATACTTCTTTCATGATAAAGCATAATGTAAATTCTCACGCAGATTATGTCTCTACTATAAAGGAAATGCATGCAGCTGGCACACACTTTTCATCATGTGTTCTTCTAGGTTCAACCAGGACATTCCCACAGCTCAGCTGTGCCCTCACTGTGTACAGATTTCCAGCTCTGTGTGGCAGAGGGCTTGCAGACCACGCTTAGGACCTTCATTGCATGTAGGTTTCAGCACAAACACAGGCTGACATCCAAATAAATTCTTCGTATATAAAATACAGCTGTTTCTGCACTCTATACGTATCTGGAGACTGGGCTAGGATACCTGGATTCCTTCCCAACTTTCATTACTTGCAAGATAAAAGGGGTTACTCACTCAGGAGGGGAGCCACTGGAAGCCTCTAGGAACATGCAACTCTGCCTGTATCAGGTAGACAGATTCCAGTCAAAGCAAATGCAGAATTTGGATCCTTCCACACTTTAAATAGGCTGCTTATATAACTTAAGGTACTTCTAACATCAAACTGGAGGTACTTCTAAAACTTTCTTAAGCTACTTCTACAGAGAGCAAAGACAACCAGGATAAGCTTATACCTGGCCCTAACACTCAGTGAGTTGGATGGCAGCAGAACCAAGAAAAGGCAGCGGCTGAAAGTTTCATTTGGGTCACTACATCAAATTTTGAAACAATTAACACTACTGCATTGAAGTTAGCTTCAGTCGCATGCAATGGCCACACTTTGAAATACCAAGTTACATTGACAGAGGGGACTGGCAGACTGATGTGTTGAAACTTTGAGTTGCAGACTTCTAAATCTTTCTGAATGGAAGTTCAGAGGTTGCCACAATTCACAAACTGTGAATTAGGATTTGTGGCTGGCAAGTAATCCCCCCTCCTTCCTACTTCATGTGTCAAGCACACTCAAGACTTAACAAATAAGCCTAGACGTTCAGCCGATCTTAAAGTATGACCTTACCCAAAACAGTTAAAATCTCAACCTTTGCGTACCCATGCAGATTTGACTCTTTAGACTCAAAGTTTACACAGATGTGACACAATGAATAATTACGCACGCAAAGCAGAACAGCTTCAGCAAAACAGACTGGAGTGATTTAACCACTAGGCACCCAGGCTCAGGTGAATTATTAGAGATCAGACTTTTCTAGATGGACTGAATGTATGTGGGTTGCAAATCCTGAGATAACCACTGTAAACTATACGCTCACCTTCTTGTCACAGCCTACCCTAAACCCACAAGCTCTAGTGAACATCAGTTTGGGATGAGGTCTGCAATGCCACCCAAGGGCTGCTGACACACACCCTGCCCTCTGACTTTCTGCCTCTGCTGCTCAAAATTAGTGAGAAGCCAAGAAAAGCAGGGGGAATACCAAGATACTGAGCCAGATTAGAAACCCCACTGAAACACTAAGAAACACCATGTGAATGGCTATAACGCAGGCTCTAAATCACAGAGGCAACAGGAGGTAGCTCAGGAGGCTTGGCCTAAAATGATCGTGATCTTGAGGATCATTCCTGAACCTGATCTTCTCCAGCCATTAGGTTTTGCAACAAAAGTGGAGCAAAAGAAAAATAACCAAATCCTACAGTTTCTTCATACTTAAAAGCCCTCTTTAACAGCAGTAAAGGGCTAGTAGATATGGAAGCTAGGCCTGTAGTGACCTGCTTGAGAGGTCCTTCCAGGAGCTTCCCAAGCCCCTGTCCGTTTTTCATGGGTAGTACTAGACCTGTGCAAGGGAGCCTGCACTGAGCTTGCCACCACCTTGTCTCACTTGTGCTGTTGCTTTGAGTGCTGATGGAAAGCCGGAGGCTCAAGACTTACCCACTTTTAAAAACCATGTGCTCCAAAGCACACTGTAAGCAGTGAGAACTGCAAGGGCCTACTTTAGGAATACTTGTGGTGATATCTTTAACCTGATGCCAGAAGCACTTAGAAAAAGGCAATAGTACTGTTAAAGCCTTTTGTCTAACCTGCAGTCTGCTCCACAAAGCAAAGATAGAGGAAATATAAATATACAGAGAGAGCAGAAAACTCCTAATCAGATTAAAAATGGTCATTCCATCTATCTACCTTGTATAATTTAAATACTGTTTACACAAAAAACAATCAATCTTTCAGCCAGTGGTTATTCGGTAACAACAGGAAATTAGAAGATAATTTATTCCTATGTTATTGTGATGTAATGTGTTCATCAATTTGAACTCCTGGACTCATATATTTAGACATACAGTAGGAATAATATCTTCATTAACATATCTGCTTTCATTAACCATGCATGCTACTAGTTTTAATCAAATAAAATACTTAACACTACTTTGTTTTCCCTGGGCAGTTTGCAACTGTAGTGTATTTTCAGTTTTCGCCATCAGAGTAATAAATGTATGATACTATTTATATTCGGCAAAAACTAAAATCATTCAACAGAAAAAAAGCTACATTTTATGTTCTCCCGGCAGTCAGCTACTTCAGCATTGATAGTATCTGTTATCATCAATTTTGCAAGTTTAAATATGATTCAATACACAGTCCAAATCACTGCCATTCGACCAAAATAAAGAGGAGCACTTTCCCTTGCCACTCACCTTACATTGGTCCATCTCCCTTTTTCCACAAGTGCTCAGGAAAGCTGTGTGTTTAAAGACTGACTAACCTCAGGTTTGGCATACCAAAAACCAGGGAAGAGAACAAACGCTTTCGTTTTCATCGGTCAGCTCCCACAGCACTCAAATGGAATTGCGTAGAGATTTTTCCTGCCTTGCTTCAAATAAATGGGTGTTTTGTTTACATATCGCATACTGAGCATTGCCCACCCTAAGCCAAGGGCTGTGTCTTGCCAACTCTTAACTTTTGTACAATATGGCGATTACATGAGCCAGCATACCATTAAGTCGCAAAACAAAACTTGGAGAATGGCACTGTTAGCTTGCAGAAACGTGCTTGCGTGCACCTGAACAACTGAAATGCTTTGCACTAAAGGGGAACCTACGTTTCAGCTTGGAAGCCGATGCAGGTCATAACCAGACTGGGTAGAGGCCTCAGTCTACAATACAAAATCACCTGCCATAGAGCACAGACATAAAAGCTTACGGATACACTGTATAAGGAGGCAAGAAAATCACCAAACACACTGTATAAAAAACCTCCCCATTCCTCCAAGAGCCTTCTAGATTTTCTGTTTTTTTTTTTTTTGACGCTATACTTTCTTCCAAGATGAACATCCAGGTGCAGTACTCACAAACTGGTCTCCCATAATCAGAATCAAAACCAGACAAAAGGAAAAAAGATCTCAGTCTGTTACTGAATGCGTACAGAACTGTAACTTTCTGGCTCCTACAGATTCTCTTTGCCTATCTGACAAGCAGCAAATGCCTATCAGGAACTCCAAATGTTTTCTAGTGCCTAGTGGTCTTTTTCTTACTTAACTGGGAGAGAAATATTAGAGATCAGAGCTTACTATTTCCCAGCAAGCTCACACAAATATATCAGATATATATTTTACATTCCCAGTTTAGCCTATCAGGATGAGATGGGAACTGGCAATTTTTACCCTCTTTTTTTACAACGACTACATCCATAATAATTTACACAGACGCTTCCACTTAGGCCACACAAATATTCTATGCGTAGGACAACCTAAATAGGTCAGTTAGCTACTAGCAATGAATATACACATTCAAGGCTAAAAAGTCGAACTCAGATCCAAGACCTAATACTCAAGTTTCTAAGAGATTGTACGTATAACTCCTTGCTAAAGATAAGTGCCTTAACCACTTATCTGACAGCCTATACCACCATCAGTCTTCTGAGTCAGCTCCATGTGTGACTTCTCTTTACAGCATATTTCTTAGTAAGTAACTTAATCCTATTTATATTGTCTTCAAAAGGAACAAAAAACAAGGAAGAGACGACTACATGTTTTTTCAAGATATTTCACACCACCATCACTCACATTCTTCAAAATGTAAAAGGCTGTACAGACATCAGTGCTACTTTATTTGTTGCAACATTAACATGCTAAAGAATATAAACTCGCTTCCAGTAATAGTTTTAATTACTAAGTATATAAGCCTGCAAATCCTCTCATACAAGTAATCCTTCAATAAGATTAATTCATGGAAATAGTCCCACTGAAGAAGGATTTGTAAGACTGGACCCTAAATGTATAATCATAATTTTAAAGGCATTACTGCTTAAAGAAAAAGGTGTTGACGCATTTAAAATAGGGGGTTGCATGTCCAACAAACTGCATAGTTTCAGAAATAATCCTTCTAGGACTAACACAGTTGGGTAACATGTTTCTGCAGTTCCCCCAGTTGATTGACTAGTCTCCAAGTCAGCAGGACGCTGTCTTCTCTTCAGTGGCACTAAAGTATGACTCAGCTATTCCTTCAGCTGCACTAGTTATACATTATCCTTGTGTAACACCAACACAAACATCATTGATTGTTTGAGGTATGAAGGATCCAGCTATTATATATACTTTCGAGGCTTATCAAGGTATGGTTCTCACTTCCTCTACTATGTCTAATTCTTATTACAATTCATCTTAATTCTTATTACGATTCTTATTTCAAACTTTCCTAGCTTTTCAATCCTATTTTTTCCTCTGTGCCAACTACTGGTTGATATGAGAAGCAGCTACAGGGGAACACAGATTAAAATTCACTTTAATGCACCAAGTGCCACAATGTGCTTATATTCCCCCCTTCTTGTATCCCTGTCATTTGCTTTCTCTTTGCGCATAGGTCTTCATGGTTTAATGAAAAGTTTTCCCTGACATTTCATCTGCTTTACTCTCTTCGGAATGACTAATGGTTTGGTATCACATTTGTTTGCTAATCCTTAAAATGAAGGAAAAACAATTTGGAAAGCTATGAGTCTGTCTCCGTCTTCCAAAGGCAGGAAGCGTAACTACTTGAAGGCTGACAGATGCTTCGCCACCACGACAAGAAGCTGTTCCACAGGCTACAGTTTGTGATCCCTTGAGTCAAGCCATATGGTGCTGAATGCCAGGACTGCCTGTCTTTCCCAGTTTATTAGAAGAGAGGGATTATTCCTGCTTTGCCCTGAATTTGGAGAAGTTCTCCGTGGGTTTTAAAAGTTTACAGTTTGCATGAAATGAAATTAAACACTTGATCACTGGCACTTACAAAACTGTATTTACCTTCAGAGGTGTTTTTTTTTTTTTTTTTCTTGTCAGGAAACAGCCCAACATGCATGCTGGCATGGACCAGGATAACATCATACTACTTTTATCCACTCCAATTTTAAGTGAATGTATAAACGTTTACTGAATACACAAAGATGACTATTAGTGCGTAAGAGACCCTTCCCAATTAATAATCTATTTGGCCTGTGTGACCAAGGTTTCATGTAACATCCAGAACAACAATGCTGAAGTGCAAGGCATCTTTATCACGTAAAGGGGACAGCACGAGGGAATTGATGCTTTTAGACTTCAGAACTGCTCATTTCAGATTATTCCTCACTGCATTTCAGCATCACAAAAATTAGAGGTAATCAAGTTATAGCTCCTTAAGCTAACAGGCATGTTCTCCAGTGTGCTTGCCACTTGCATTTTAAATACTGCAGAAAGCAAGTGTTGCTAATCCCACTTTTCTCTCCTACTATTTAATTGTCCTAAAGACTATTTAATAGTCCAGCAGATTTTAGCAAGTAGCTGCTTTAATGCATTCTATGTCTTTTCCCCATGCTGAAGTTGGGGAGGATGGGGGGACATCTAGGAATCCCCAAGAGCAGGGAGAAAGCAAAGCCCCTACTTTGCTTCTGACCAAGAAGGGAAAGCAAAAGCCCTCGGCCCTGGGCACGCTGGTCTTGGCACGGGGGCTCAGGAGACGGCGCTGCGGGCAGGCAGGGCGGAGGGTGCCGCCGGCACCTCGCGCAGCCCGGA